CTATAAACCTGTAAAGGATCCCTGTAGCCATGTCATTGTTATAGTACTGCTGTTAAGAAGGCCACAGTACTGTAACAATAGTATTGACTATACAAAAAAATTAGATAATATAACTAAACTATATATTAAAGAAAAAAAACTAAAATATAAGCAAAAAATACTTATATTTATATATTAATATGTATAATTAGTAATTTTACCTCTAGTTAACTGTAGTTATTTCTATAAAATAAAATAAAATAAAATAAAATAATAATAAAAAGATTCAAATTTTATTATTTACCTTGAGCTTAATCTAAAATGATATTATATCTTTTTCTAATTACTTTTTAATTTACTTGATATAATAAATCTTATTTATCAAAATTGCTCTCAAAATTATTTTAAACTTTATTATTGCTCTACATCTTAGAATTACCTTTACAATTATTTTATAAATTATTATAATTGTTATAGTTAGTATAATCAGAATTACTAGTATTTTTTTACTTCTATTATTGGTTTTACTAACATTACTTTCATCACTACTATTATCTTTATTATTGTTACTACTACTCAAAATTACTTTTTCTTCTTTATTTAAAAGATAAAATATAGAAATTGTCTACTTGAGCATATTAACAGAAGGTTTTAACTTATCAGCCCATTTGCTATTTTTGTTTTTTTTTATATATATATTAAGGTGAAGTTATGCTTTTGGTTTTTATTAATATATACTTATTTTGACAAGTTCTTTACATATATGCTAATACTGAACTACAAAGATTTAAACTAATTTTATTTATAATCTAAATTTACAAGAATAGTTTGTATTTATATATATATCACCTAGCTTGCTTTTTTCAATTAACTATTTTTAGTAATTATTATATTTACCCTATATCTTATATGACTAGTCAAAACTTTCAATTTGGTATATCAAATAACTGTTTTTAATAAGTTTTCAATTTAGTATACCTGCAAATACAATCTACTGCAAATCTTTTTACAGATTTTATTAGTACAACTATAATTAGTAAAGATGACTTTTCTATAGCTTTATCTTAAACCAGAAACTTGCTATCTAGTTAGGTTTACCACATGGCCGAGTTGGTATTATATTAACAAATTAGAACTTATCTTGGGTTTGCACTAACAAAATTATACTAGTTTGTATTTTTTTATTTTTATAAATATCTAACCCTCCTATTTATCTGTTCAGATACTATTAATCTGTATTTCAAGCCAAGTTTTTGCTACTACTGCTAGTTTGCCAACTTCAGAACTTAATATTCTTTTTCTGATATAGTAATACTAACTAACTTGTTTGTATTTTCTTATATAGTTTATTACCAGAACTATATTTTATAATACTACTTTAATAATCTATCTTATTAAAACTAGCCTAATACTACAAAATTTTTTAAATAGAAAGTAGCTCTATTTTCAACTATAGATCTTGTATTAGTATTTCTATAAACTAAACTAATCTAAACTTTTAGCCAAGTTTAAGTTTAGTTCTAAACTTGAACTTGAACTTTTTTTAAAAAATATTTGTTCAGATTTAATATTAAACTTTTAAGTCAAGATCAAATTTAATTTAGATTCAGTTCAAAAGTTTATAAACATATTCAAATTCAATAAATTATATATATAAATAGATTTTATAAAATGGTACACCTGCACTATGGTGCACTTCTTGTAACATGTGATCAACGTAATCAACATAATCGATATATGATGGTAAGATTATATTTTTTCATTTGAATTTATTAATAAGAATTTACTAACTTAAAAATTATCAAATTATTTTATAATCATTTAATTTATCGCATAATGTATGATATTTATTCAAATATTACGGGTTTCTTATACACCACTTTGTTTATCCAGTACAGTTTGTGTTGCTTCACTTACACTCAGCAACACAGAAAAGGCTCACTTCGCTCACCCTGTATCGCTTTGCTTCAGCTGTCACCTTTGCTTCACTTTCTTTCCTAATTACTCAATACACATCTATATTACTATCTAACTCATAATCTAACACAAATTCCAAATACAGTAAATCTTAATTCTAACTAACTACACTAAACCTAAAAACTAACACTAACATAAGTATTACATAAGCAGCAACAAAAAAGACACTTCGAATTGGACGACGAAATACCATCCATGACGAAGAAACTGGATGACGTCAATGACATAGGAAGCACTACTAGCGACAAAGAAAATACGCTGAACAGGATGACACTAATGATGTAATAAGCACCACCAGAAACCAGAAAAACAAGAATAATATGCAAAACAAATATCCACTTAAGATCGAATGACGAAGTAGACAAACAAAAATCAATGAAAAAAAAATGAGCGTTAGTAATTTGTTTCAAAAAACCAGGAAACAAACTCAACAAGTGCAATAAATATCATAACCAATACCTACCTAAAACCAAAAGATGAAGTGGACAAGCGAAAGCCACCAGGCAAACAAAAACAACAAGCAAAATAAATACCAGAACGAATAACTAGACCGGAAGACAAAGCAGACAAGTGAAATCGCTGGAAAAAAAAATAGGTGTTAGTAACCATGTTTCAAATCAAGAAACAAAAACAACAAGTGCAATAAATACTACATTCAATACTCACCCAAGGCCAGAAGATGCAATACCAACCCAAGACCGGAAGACGAAACAGACAAGTGAAAACTAACAAGAAAAAGAAATAAGCATTAGTAGACATATTTCAAAACCAGAAAACAATAACAACAAGCACAATAAATACCACAACAAATACCCAAGATTAGCAGGTGGACAAGTGAAAACTACAGTGAAAAAAAAATAGGCATCAGTTAAAATGCTTCAAAACAAGAAAACAATAAACAACAAGCACAATAAATACTCACCCAAGACTAGAAAACAAAATGAACAAGCGAAAACTAGAAATAGACATTAGTAGAACATGTTTCGAAAGAAGGCAGAAATAAAAAAAAAATCAAATAATCATGGTGTTGATCATTGATTATATACCCCTGATTAGGGGTGCATCATAGTGCAAAGTGCACCAAATTATAAATTTCTATATAAATATATATATTAAAAAAAATGTGCTTGTCACTGGTGGTAACAATCTCTGTGTAATATATAACCAAGTTGAAGAACGATTATATCAAAGAATTATTATGTCAGATGCAATCTAATCTAGTTAAGTATTTTGGTTTTCTTTTACTTCTTTTTGTTTATTTCTTTTTTTGTTTTTCTTTTGCTTATTTTTTATTTTTTTTGTTTTTTTCACTAATTCTTTTCTTTTACTTATTTATTTTTTCTGCTTATTTTTTTCTTTCGTATCACTTTTTGTTTCTTTTTTCTTTCATTTTATTTTGTTTTTTTTGCTGTTTTTCATTTATTCTTTTTTGCTCTTTTTTTTTGTGCTTTTCTTTTTTTCGTTTTTTTTTTTCTTTTATTCCTCTTTTTTCTTTTTTTTCTTTCTTTCATTCCTCTTTTCTTTTGTTCTTTTTCTTTCTTTTGTTCTTTTTTCTTTTGTTCTTTTTCTTTCATTCCTCTTCTTTTCTTTTGCTCTTTTTCTTTTTATTATTTTTTTCTTTCTTTTGTGTTTTTTTTTCATTCTTTCTTTTTCTTTCTTTATTTCATTTCTCTTTTCTTTATTTTATTCCTTTTCTTTTTTCTTTCATTTTATTTTGTTTTTTTTACTTCTTTTCTTTTGTTTTTTTTGCTCTTTTTCTTTTGTGCTTTTTCTTTTGTTTCTTTTTTTCTTTTCTTTCTTTCGTTCTTCTTTTCTTTTGTTCTTTTTTTCATTCCTCTTCTTTTCTTTTGCTCCTTTCTTTCTTTGGTTCTTTTTCTTTCTTTTGTGTTTTTTCATTCTTTCCTCTTTTTTTTTATTTCATTCTTTTCTTTTCTTTTCTTTCATGTTCTTTTTTGTTTTTTTTGTTTTTTCTTTATCTTTTTTTATTTCATTCCTCTTTTTTTTTGTTCTTATTCTTTTCTTTCCTTTTTTTTTAGTTTTGTTTTTTCTTTATTAGTTTTATTTTTTTCTTTTATTTTTATTTCTTTTATTTTTCATTCCTTTTTTTCAATTTTTTTTTTTAATTACCAACTCCTTATTTCTAGTTTTTTCTACAGTATTTTTACAGTATTTGTATATCTCTATAATGATTGTGTAGTGCCTATAATGATTGTGTGGTATTTATGGTAATTGTAGTATCTCTTCAGCTTGTGTGGTCTCTACAGTGATTAAGTATCTTTATGGCGATTATGTGGTGTTTATAGTGATTGTGGTGTCTTTTCAGCTTGTGTGGTCTATAGTGATTATAGTATCTCTTCGGTGATTATATGGTGTCTCTTCAGAAATATGATGTCTCTACAGCTTGTATAGTATTTATACAGCTTGTGTGGTATCTTTATAGTAATTGTGTGATATTTATACAGTAATTGTGTGATGTTTTTTTGGTAATTATAGTGTCTCTTTAGTGATTGCGTGGTATCTCTTTAGTAATTATAGTATCTTTATAGTTTGTGTGGTGTCTCTATAGTGATTGTGTAATATCTCTACAGCAATTGTGTGATATCTCTTCAATGATTATAGTATCTCTTTAACAATTATGTGGTATCTCTTTGGCAATTATAGTGTCTTTATGGCTTGTGTGGTATCTCTATGGTGATTGTGTGATGTCTATATAGTGATCATGTAATATCTCTACAGCAATTGTGGTACCTCTACAGTGATTATTGTGCCTCTACGATATTTATAGTATCTCAACAACTTGTGTGACAGCTCTATGACTTGTGTAGTATTTCACAGCTTGTATGATGACTCTATGACTTGTTTGGTATTTGTGGTATCCTTATGATTATTGTGTGGTGTCCTTAAAACATTTATACTGTCTTTTTTTTATTTTTTACTTATTTATTATGTAATATATACGTATTATTGTTTTAATTATAATAAAAAATTTTATTTTTGATTGGATTCGAATTAAAAAAAATGTGATTGAATCTGAACTAAATTAAATTTTTGCTCATATTACATATTAATTTAATTAGTTGTACATAATTCAAGAGTGTTACTGGTAGTGACAAATAGATTTGCTCTATATATTATATATTATCAAAAATAATTCATCTTCAATAATAAGCTATTTTTTTTTTTAGAAAAAAAAATAAAAACTTAGATTTAAAAATAAGTTATTTATATAATTATCAGTAGTTACTATTTAGTAAAGTTAAAATTTTACTAAGTAAATTAATCTACTTTATTAAGTAAAGTTGTTTAAAAGATTATAATACATATATTTTGAAAATATTATATAAATTTGATAACTTTTTATTAATTAACTTTTGATTTTTATATTTAATAAATATAAATTTTAAAAAAATTTTAAAAAATTTATTAAATGTGATATACAAAAATATATTAATTAAAGGTTATTTAATTTGTATAAAATATATGTATTTTGCTCTTCTAAACAACTTTACTTAATAAAGTAGATTACTTTACTTAGTAAAATCTTAACTTCACTATAGAGTAACTACTAATAATTAAATAAACAGCTTATTTTTAGATCTAAAAAATTTATATATATTTTTTTTAAAAAAAAAATAGCTTATTATTGAAGAAAGATTATTTTGACAATATATAATATATATATATAATTTATTAAATTTAAATATATTTATAAACTTGAACTAAACTTGAACTAAACCAAAACTTTGAGTTCAAGTTCAGTTTAGATTTAAGTTCAAAAATCTGCAAAATTTAAGTTTAGTTTAAGTTCAATTAAACTTGAATCTAAATCTAAATTGAACTGAACTAAACTTCAGAACACTATCTTGCATCATATTACTAGGAGGTAAACTTCAATTTATTTTGACTTTCTACTTGAATTCTTATCATTGGTTAGTATTATATTATTATATATATTAGTCTTAATTTGGATTGACATTAGATATTCACTTGAGAGAGTAATACAATATTACCAAAACTGAATAGCAAAAGAAGCAGTAAATATACGAAAGAGCTATAATAAAGAATTAGTTTTACTAAAATTAAAAGTACTTCTGGTACTATGAAACAACTAGCTAAAGAAAATAATTATATAGAGGCAGGCTAGCTAATCTAGTATATCTAAAGATATCAAGTCAATGCTCTGATCATACCTATATAAAAGTTTATGATAAAAAAGCCAAAATATATAAATAATAATATA